CTCAGCTATTTCTGAGGAAAGGAATTTCTTCACGTGGCTTATTCTGTTAATTTATATGTGCTGTTACTGATGGATTTATTGCCAGCTACTAAGTCCAAGTAAGAAAAATGAATAGCTGGGATACAGGAAGATAATAACAATATAATAATTTTTCAAATTAGCTATTATAATTGCATAGAAATGTTTGGGAACCAAATAGTATGTGGAGCTTTCTAGAGGTTATATCTGAAGGATATTTTCTTAGGGAATTGTCTTTAGAATTTCCTGAGTGTATATTTTCTCTTTAAAGGAGAAGAAATGTGACTTGTGATCATTTTCTTCATCCCTGAAGTGATAATTAATATAATGAAGTCTTGAAGTCTCTTCTTAACTAAACCTTTTACCTGTGTCTACCCATGATACAATTGTTACTTCAAAATTTACTCAGTGGCCATATCTAGCTCATATTCCATTTTTCCTTATCAGAATCTGCTTTATTTAGAGGTAAATAAGTCTCTCAAATATATAATCTTCTCATCATTCTTTTTCACTCTCCAGTTATTTTTCAAAAGTATTTTTATTCTTGTTTTCAGTCATTCTATTCTTTGCTAAATTTCAGAGTCCAGTGCTCTCTGACCAGCTTTTTATAGATATTCCACACATTGAGGGTTGCATGTTTAATACCAAATTTACTAATTTGAAGTTATTTGATGTTACACAGGATTTCGATTTAGCAGAGTGATACAGCAATGTACTTAAATCACAGTACAAACAGAGTACAGAAATTGCAATATACAGCTGAATTACAATACAAATGTGATTCTCATTACTGGTCTCTACAATATGCTTATGACACTGGGCATCCCCAATCACCAGGAAGGAATATGTGGGTTGAAACCAGCTCAAACCCATTGCTTTCTTCAAAGGTCTTTTTGTTGCTTGTTTGGGTTTTAGACTCTGTGTTGGCCTGAGCCATGTTTAGCGCCCCCTCTGCCCATGCTGGTCTGGCTAACTCGGAAAGATTGATTAACTCAGGGACACAGAGTTACACAGCTGGTTAATCCACTCAGCGGATATAACCAGTTGATCCACTTAACTGATATAGCCATTTATCTAGAACAAAGGCCACCCTCTGGTCCCCTTTGTGTTGAGATAAGTTCAGCTTTCTTGGCAACAGCTGTGGTCAGTCACTCCTTACATTCTTCCCTGAGCTTCATGGGCACATCGCCCTTGCCTGTCTCCTCTGAGCCTTCTTCCATTGTAGGAGTTCTTTGATTGGTCACACAATCATATTGTTTATTTTGGCTATTTTGATTTTTGATATGATACATGCCACTAATACTATGCAGTATATCAACTCATCCTTCTACAAATCTCTATGAAATGTTATATATACACTCTTTAAGAGGAAAATAAATTATACAGTTAATATTGGTTTACACATCCACAGCTAATTCTGTTGACTACTGCTACTAACAAGCAATATCAAATGCCTAATTAGGCTACAATATACATGTAGACTATTTTCTAATACAGCGCTTAATGGCAGCTTATCTTCAATATATCACATGTGCACCAGGCCACAAATGGGGTGAAATTAGAACACAATTTCCTGATTTCTGTTTTTGACATCAAACACTGTATGGTAATATGGTATCCTTTTCCATTTAAGAAGCTTTAGAAACATCTAAGAGCTTTAATTAAAGAATGAATGAGTAACCATTAATTTTGTTGTGTAACATGTAAATGATTATCCATAAAAATAAGCATGCAGCCTGACATTGTTCTGTGCACAGTGAAGAGATCTGCTAGGAACAGGTAGAAAGGAATTTGTTCCACTAGTCACAAAGGAATCACTGTTGCAGACTGCTGAAAGGCTGCTATGTCAAGCCTGGTACAGCTTTTCCTGCCCTAAAATTCTGTGCATGCTAGAATGCAGCTAGTTATTAAGGAACAGAGCTCTACCAAAAGCTAAAGATGTATATCAAATATAAATAGGTTCCTAAGTCTTACTTCTTTTTCTGCTGCAGAACCATTCTGTCTTTACTGTCTCTAGTCTTATCAGAGAGGATGTTAAAAGAAAATCATCAGTTAAGCAAAAATACATTGGATTGGTAGAGTGGCAGAAGCAATATAATATACATTATCTGGTTGTGTAGCTGCCTGTATATACATATTCTCTCATTTTTGTGAGTGACTTGATAATAAAGTTTTTAGAACAAATATTTAGAAGGTTTATGTGTCTAAGAATGTAAAAAGATGTGTTGCACAGCATTATATTGACTGTTTTTTTTTTTAATTTTTATTTGTAAATATCACACATTGCCTGTCAGGGAGCAGCAAGAATGGCTGCTCTGCAAGGGCAGGGGAGCCAGGAGCCGAGGGTGACAGCAAGGCAGGCAGGGGCAGTGCCCTCATCATCAGGGTGCAGTCCCATAGCACCTGAACAAGAAGAGCAGAGCAGGTCCAGTGATGGCAACCAGGGTCAGCCACAGTCCAGTGATGGCCAGACAAATTCAGAGTGATGAGACAGGACTGAGGTCAAGCTGGGAAGCCCAGTCAGTGGGTCGGGGAAACAGCTGGGCACAGTATACCTACAGTGTAGCTCAGGTAAGGCCCAAGGGCGGGGGCCCCAGCTCTTTCTCCCACCTTAGCTGTTTTCCTAGCAGTCTGATCCCAGGTTACACGGCTGTGCTGTATCAGAGCTGCCCTTGAGCACAGGCAACCAAAACCCTAGGAGCAGGGGGAGGTTGCAGAGACTACTGGTTCCCTCAGGGCCCTGACAGAAAATATTTAAATGAATAGTGAGGAAAATTGTGTGCTGTGCATGCATACTGCTCATTTTTCACAATGTTTTTATCCTCAGTCAGCCTTTCCAGATTTAACAAAACAAGAATTCTTTATGGAACATTATAAGATTATACATAGTAAATTTCAGTTTGGAAAAGAAAATGGCTTTTAATTACAAGATTGAGATCAAAAACTTAAAGTTTTTACAG